GAAAAAAAAAAAAAAAAATCGACTACGTGTATGTAATTGTACCTTGATTGCACGCACGGGAGCTGTTTCTAACATGTCGAAAACTCTTGACTCGCCAGTAGACTGACGGACGAGCATGATCCCGCCGCCACCTAGGCTGCTGAAAGGCGGGTCGACTACTCCAAGGCTGAATGCTGCAGCCACGGAAGCATCTACCGCGTGGCCGCCACGAATTAGGATATCTCGGCCGATATCCGAGCATACGCCTTCCTCCATGGCGACGACACCTGAATACGAAATTACCGATACGCCTCTGTCTCCCGGGCGAGCCTCTTGGTGGCAAGATATCAACATCGATAGAGATAGGTGGAGGATTGCAAGAAGATTGTTTTCTGCAAAACAAAATAATGAAATGAGTTTTTACACGTGATTTATAAGTAGAACACATGAACATAAAATGAATTCTAACGTGAAGAATTGTTTTCTTGTCACTTACTTGCAGAAGACATTGCAGCTTCAATGGAGAGTACTTTCCTTACCTATCTACAAGATGAGTGATACATTATAATCATAAGTTTTCCTTTAATATTTTCTATCCAAGGTATATGTCAGTAAATGCAATTTAAGGGTTCTTCCCTTTAGCTAGGAAAGGTCGTTGTTCGTGTAAATCGTACGCGTGTCGAACATTTTTTGATGGCAAGATACAAGTCATAGATAATCAATAGCATACAAAATGAAATATAAACCTTAAATGATTGTAATCTTATGTACACAACACAGTATATCGGTTTTTATCACGAGAGTGCACATTCATCAAATATGAGTACATTTACTTTGATATCGAGTATAGTAAAAGGTAAAGTTGTACTATTAACATTCATCAGAATACGAAGGAGAATGTCAACACAACACAGAGTACAATTAGAAAACCGGACTTAGTAACCAGCCGGGAAACTACCCTTTCTCGGGTCGCTTACAGCAATGAGCTCACTCGATCCATTTATAAATTCTTGAACAACAAATTGGCACATTGTGGCAGTTGAGGAGCTTTGAAGAGTGTGGTTCCTTTTAGTTAGAGCAGTCCTTATTTCCTTTGGGACCTCGAAATGACCACCTGTTGGCACTGTCCAGTTCTCGTACAATACCACGTTCGGAATCAGCTGCATTAAATACGTGCACGACACGAAAATAATGTCAAAATCGAAAAAAATGAAAAATCCAACTCATTATATCAGTTTTTGCATATTCATTACTAAATAGACTGAATTTGTGAGATTTATATCTTCTTGCACCTGATGAAAAAGTCGAGGAGCTACAACACAAGAAAGAGGGTCCATTTGTCTTTTCAAATAGTTCAATAAAACCTCTGCTACTGCTCCAATTATATTGCTCCCTCCTCTACCACCTACAACAGCTCTTAGTGTTCCATCCTAAAAGCAAACGAGTTACTTTCCGGAAGTAAAAATTCGTAATAAAATAAGATAGGAAAAAACATGAACTTAAGAAACTTCGAAATTCGGCACACCTTATTGACGATAATTGTCGGTGTCATTGACGAAAGTGGCCTTTTCCCAGCCTCGACAAAGTTGTTCGGAGCAGGTGGGAAAACTCCTGGATTTTTAGTGCCTTTCGGCTGAGGCATCGAGAAGTCGTCCATTTCGTTGTTGAGAACAATGCCTGTTCTCGTCGAGAGAAAAGTCGAGCCAAAATACGCATTGATGGAAGTGGTCATCGAGACCGCATTACGCTCTCGGTCAACGATGGAAATGTGGCTTGTGCCGTGATCATGAATTTGATTCCACCTGTTTATTAACAAAACAAGACATATATAATTATAATCACGCAACCGATTTTTTCGATACACGAGCCAGAGCTTTAATTAGCATTAGTCACTACCTCCCACCATAATGGCTAAAATCAAACGTCTTGCTGTCGTTAATAGTTTTCCTTAGCGTCTCAGCAAAGACTTTGGACAACATGTCTCGTAGCACGCACTTAACATTGACAAAAGCCGGATCACCGAGATTCATCCGCACGGCAAACGCGTGTTTCAGAGCCTCGATTTCTCGATGGCTTAAAAGTCCAATATCCGAAAAATTCGTATACCCTTCAAGAATGTTTAGCATCTGATGATGAAAGACATGCGCGTCACATATACATGAGAAATGTTGTATCTTCGTCCATAAAGTAATTGTGTTACTATCCACGTGTTGTACGTTAGTATCCATGAGTGTACCCAACCCAACCCAGTAAGTGATATCAGATAGCCAAACCAACAAAAAATATGTAGCTTGCAATTTCTTGATTAATTATACAATATATAAATATACTTACAAGTGCTAGAGAAGGACCTCCGGTCGAAGGCGGGCCCATGCTCAATACTTTAACTCCCATCACGTCGACCTCAACGGGATTCCTAACTTCTACCTTATAACTGCGCAAATCTTCTTGACTCAATATCCCTTTGGCTTTACGCACATCGTCAACCAACTTTTGTCCGAGGGGACCGTTATAAAAAGACTCCACATTGTCCGATATTTCCTTCAATGTCTCGGCAAGCCTTACGTTGCGGCAAGTTTCGCCAGGTCCCAACAAACTTCCGTTTCTCGTGAATATGCTCTTGAGCCCCTCGTCGGCCATGATGTCCGATTTTGTTTTGTTCATTTGCATGTGGAGATAAGGAGAGATCTTGAACCCGCGGCTCGCGAGGCGAATGGCAGGCTGGACAAGGCTCTTCCAAGGGAGTTTACCGTAATTTCGCCAGGCGAGATTGAGGCCCGCGAGCTCGCCCGGGACCGCAATGGAAAGCGGGCCCTTGGCCTTTAGGGTGGCATTTCCTTTATACATGGTCTGCATCCATATTTTTTTTTTTTGTGTTTGAGAATGTGTTTACTAAGTTAAAAAAGAGTAATAAATGAATGCATTAAGTTATCGTGATCGTTATGAAAAGACAAAACTATTTTTTTATTATAAAAAATTTATTAAAAATGCCAAATAAAATAACAAAAATATCTAAAAAAACAGTAGAACCTGAAAAATGGACCCCAAAAAACGTGATATTATTTTCTTTTTCCCAAATGTTTATGACGAAGTGCATGAAAATCACCTTATTAGCACAACTTGGAGCCGTTTCTCTCATATCATAGGCTTTTGTTGAGCCATTGGCCGACCGGACGAGCAAAAACGCACCACCGCCAAGGCCGCTAGACGCCGGGCTGACCACCCCTAGGCAGAGGGCGGCAGCCACCGCGGCATCCACCGCGTGGCCGCCCTTTTTGAGCACATCGACTCCGATGTCCGAGCACAAGACTTCATCGGCTGCCACCACACCATTTTTCCCGGCGACTTCGTGACTTTTTCCAGTGCACGGCCTCAACGATAAAGAAGAAAACGACGACGCCAAAAGGAGGAGACACAAAACGGCATTCCACGCCATCGACTGAGCTGGTAGAAGGACGAAAAATCGATGATATGTATATAAAAATATTAAAAAAAAGAATTAAATTAAGAATAAGTACTTAAGATTCAACATGAAATTATATTTGTGACTTAAACATATATAGTGAGAACATTGAGAGTTGAATAAAATGAGTATTGTATGTTTGTATGCTTTAAGAAAAGGCTAAGAACACGCATTTATATAGGCACATTATAACAAATCTTGGCAAAGAAAATAAGGAACAGAGAATCTTGACACACACACGAAGAGAAATAATAAAGTTTTTAATTAATAAACTTTATAACTAATTTTGAATAAATTAATAAACTTTATAACTAATTTTGAATAAAGAGCTATGATTAGTTGTTAGTGAAAATTTAAATTAAAGTTAAAATAATTAAAGTTAATTTGATGTAAAGTAGAAGAAAAATGATTGAAAATGATGGTTAGTTAAAATTATGTAAAGTAGAAGAAAAATGATTGGAATTAAAGTTAGTGTGATGTATAAGAATGATTGATTGATATTATTTAATTATATTAATAATATTGGGGGTGATGTGGTTGAATTAAAGTTGAGTTAAATTTGAGTTTTAATTAATTTTTAATTAGTTTAATTTATATCCAATCACACCTAAATAATTTTAAATAGTTCTAATTATATTTGTGGAAAATTCTAAGGTCTTGTTACGAGATGGTACCATCAGTATTTTTCACCTTTGGATACACGTACAAATTATCTTGTATGAATAATCATCGGTAACGAACACTGACGAAACCATTCCGTCAACTAGAACTGTAGTAGTTCCCTATATTTGTATTATTGTATACATAACCCATTGATGACATCCGGGCTGAACTATGCCACACCTTGTCTTGTTTATTTTAGAAAAAATAGAATTCAAACTTCTTTTTATTCAACAAACGCGTTTTAATCAGGAATCTGTAATTTTTAAAAACTAAATATTGTGAAAGTAATTTTGGCTATAAGTCCAAATTAGGGCTCCAAAATTTAAGAAGTAGCCAACTAAAGAATAATTTTGGATGCAAATTTGAGGAAAACTTTAGCCTGAAAATCTAAATTCCGACCAGAAATTCAACGGGACGATGTGCGCACAATGTGTCAATTTACGATCGGAATCTTAAGTCGAAAATTGATTTCGAACGGAAATCACACCTCATGGGCAAGTGTCGCTGCAAATTTTACGTTGAAATAACTCACATTTCGGTCACAATTATCCTCAAATTGGTTAATTTTAAGAATATTCGGCCCACATTCGAGTTTTTGACTAAAATTTTCCTCGAGTAGGGTTCAAAAACTTTAAAATTTTACCGATTGAAGAACAATTTTGCCAACAAATTTGAAGACACTTTTGGTCGAAATCCAGATTTCGGCTAGACATTTCATGTGAATGTGTATGGTGTGTCAATTTATGATCGAAAATTTTCAGCCGAAAAATTCATTCCGAATAGAAATTACACGGTCATAGACACGTGTGATTTAAATTTCATGTCGAAACTCCCATTTCCATCTAAATTTATCTTCGAAATGATTAATAAAAATTACTATATTTTTTCCACACACAAAATTAGAGGACTATTTTATAAAATTAGTAGTCCTATCATGCGCATTAATGTGGACGTATAAGTCCTTAAACGAGGGAAAAATGGATATGAGACAACTCACAAGTGATATTTTAACACGTTCTCTTACTTGTGAATCCTTCATACGAACCTCAAGCCCTACTAAAAACAAACTTCCATAAACAAGTATGTGGAAGAAAACAGGTATGTCATTGCACGGTCCTAATAGAAACGGATATCAAAGCAATTCTATTAGGACTGTGCAATGACGCACCCGTTTTTCCTCCATTTCTTATATGGTATCAGAGCCGGTTTTATGTGGGATCACACTTATTTTTCCCGGTTTCTTACACTTTCAAAGTGTTCTAGAGATAATTATTATGTGCCTAATCACGGTTAATAGAGAAAATCTTGAACACCAAACTTAAGTTAATTGATTCACAAATTGTAACACGTCGTTTTGCTGACGTAAGTTGCAGTACTCTGTGGACATTGACTATGACGTCGGATTGATGACGTAACTACATACTGAAATTGCTGATGGTGTGGAAGCTTTTAATTGTCGAAAACGTCAAATTGGACACAGCTGGTGATACCACGATAATTTTGATTCCAGATATCATACCAATTATGATACGAGTCACTATAAGAAATTGATGAAATTACGATAAAAATATATTTTAATAGAATTATTTCAACATTAATTCTAAAAGATTTTCAATATTAATATTTTCGTTTAAATTTTTCAATGAGTTCTAACAGAAATTCCACAAAAATATTCCGTTGGAATGAGTTTTTTATTGGAATTTCTGTTGGACTTTGACAATTCCAACAGTGGATTTTCCGACGGGGTGAAAAATAAAAATTCCAACAGAAATTGCATATGTCAATGGAAATTCTAACGGTAAAAAGTAGTTGGAAATATAGCCTTTGAAATCATTAAATTCTATCTAAAATTTCAATGAAAAATACATTATAACGGATAATTTTCGCTGGAAAGCTATACTATTGGAATATCTGTTGAAATTTCTATTAAAATATTTTACCATAAGATTTTTCACTAGAATATTACAATTTTATTATTATTTTTTTTTTTTGTAGTGGGTGGATTTCAATTCGTAGCTTTACATGTAGATTTTTATCATGATATTAATTTAAAAAAAAAATACTAGCTTTTTTAAATTTGTAAATTTACCCAAATCCTTTTTAACTTTGTATACGAATATGTAAAATTTTATAAATTTTTAATTTTTACAATTCAATACAGACCTAAATCCAGACTTATTTAACATATTTAATTAGATTCAACATTTCTCAACAAGCATGCCAATTGAAATATCAAAGAAAAAAAATATATATTATGTTAGGCCTAATGTGTAAACGACGAATCTAGACATTTGTATTGTTTTGTTTTATTAATTTGTAATTTTTTTTTCTTATTACTTTTTTATGTGCAATTTATGTATTTTAGGCCTAATGTATCAAATTGCTAAATATTAAGAATCTCATGTATTATATGCAAACTTAAAAAGTATGGTTGATTTTGCAAATTTTGGAAGAAAATTTCTATTCTTCTTAATTAATCTTAATGATGATGATAAAAATCCACGTGTATGTGTACGGTACTCCACGTCAGCAAAATCGGGCCAGATTCAAGCCCGATGTTTGAAATTGTAAGAAGTTAAAAAATGTAAACCCGATGTTTGAAATTGTAAGAAGTTAAAAAGTCGTCAAAGTACCCTTTTTCTTCGGACTGGCCGTGCAATTAGTTTTCAGTAATCTTACACGACAAGAAGTTGATACTGTTTGTACTATTTTTGTTTGCATTTTTTGTGTTTGAGTTGCCTGTCTTTTTCACACCGATCGTTTCCATGGTTTTTAGTTAATTTGTGTTTTGTTGCATTTTTTTCTTTATTTTTGATTTTTCTGTGTTTTCGCTTTTGTTTCTTTGTTTTCTTCGTGTTCTTGTCGTTTTAGGTGTACTGGTCGGGAGCTTCGAGTGGATATGATTTCTAGAATAAGTTGTCTATGCAAGAACAATTAACTAGAAGGCTTCATTAGGAAAAAAAGGGCACTCAATTCCGAGTTCGGACGAGTTCAAACGAACCCAAAACACGAAGTCGCGCAACCCAGACCTTAGCGGCGCTGGACAGGCTAACGGGTAGCAGAAACTTCCAACCTTTGTACCTTAGCGCCTCTAAACCCCCCCCCCCCCCC